GGGCAGATCATTTGAGGCCAGGAGTTTGAGACCAGCCTGGCCAACATAGCAAACCCTGTCTCTACTAAAAATACAAAAATTAGCCAGGCACGGTGGCACACATGTAATCCCAGGTTTACTAAAGAGGCTGAGGCAGGTGAATTGCTTGAGCCTGGGAAGCAGAGGTTGGAGTGAGCTGAGATCACACCACTGCACTCCAACCTGGGTAACAGAGCAAGATTCTGTCTCAAAAAAAAGAAAAAAAGAAAAAAAAAAGAAAAAAAAGAAATTGTAGAAACTATACCTAGTTAATGAATTCTAATGATCAAAGCTTGGCTCTATTTCACCCAGTAGCCAGGGGAGCCATGTCCCAAGTTCACCCTTAGACTCCCATTCAGAAGTAAGCAACCTGCCATACTCTGCCAATTCAACTCTATTTTGAGCCAAGCACAAGCTACATGAAGGTAGCCAACAGTGTGTGCCTCACAGGATGGGCACAGACCAAAGCAGAGTCACCTTAAATGACTCTCCAACTGAAAACCTTGGCTAAATTTACCAATCTCTGGAAGATCAACTTCCTCACAACACATAACAGCAAGTAAGCAAACCAAGAACATCAATCTGGCTGGGGAACTGGAGGTGTTAAGAATCTGAGACAGAATGGTGGCTATCAGTACCCCAATAGAGATCAGTGTCAAGGTGGGCATGACTCTGAGCAAAGGATAGATCCAGAGTTATCAGAATTAGATTAAAATGTCAGCAAAAGCCTGCTGAAGGGCCGTGGGAGGAGAAACCACAACTACAGCTAACCCGTAACTACAGCTACCTATGAACAAAAGGCACGGAAATAAAATGGACTCAGCTTATAAATAAAAAACCCAGTCCCCTGGACAATTCTGAAACTTGAGATGGAAAATGGTCAGGTGGGAGTAAATCAGGTTGGGTTGTTAGGGCAGTGACATCCTTCAGAGTTTAGGGCTGTCACCTCAAGTTCATTGCTTGGTAATGGCCAGATTGCCAGTGATAACTTCTTGTAACTGACTTTTCTTTTTTTGAGATGGAGTCTTGCTCTGTTACCCAGAATGTAGTGCAATAGTGTGATCTTGGCTCACTGCAGCCTCCACCTCCCGGGTCCAAGTGATTCTTGTGCCTCAGGCTCCCTAGTAGTTGGGCTTATAGGCGCCTACCACCATGCCTGGCTAATTTTTGTATTTTTAGTAGAGATGAGGTTTCACCATGTTGCTCAGGCTGGCCTCGAACTTCTGGCCTCAAGCAATACACCTGCCTTGCCCTCCCAATGTACTGGGATTACAGGCATAAGCCATCACATCCAGCCTCCTAATTTACTTTTGCAGACAATTTCTCACAAAATATAGCTCTGGAGGCTGGGCGCGGTGGCTCATGCCTGTAATCCCAGCACTTTGGGAGGCCGAGGAGGGTGGATCACGAGGTCAAGAGATCAAGACCATTCTGGTCAACATCGTGAAACCCCGTCTCTACTAAAAAAATACAAAAATTAGCTGGGCATGGTGGCGCACGCCTGTAGTCCCAGCTACTCGGGAGGCTGAGGCAGGAGAATTGCTTGAACCCAGGAGGCGGAGGTTGCAGTGAGCCAAGATCGCGCCATTGCACTCCAGCCTGGGTAACAAGAGCGAAATTCCGTCTCAAAAAAAAAAAAAAAAAAAAAAAAAAAAATATATATATATATATATATATATATATATATAATTCTGGAATGTTTACAGAAAAATCAACAGCCTTCCATGCTGTTTAAAAGTCTCCTAGTGATGTCAGAGTGAAGTTTTCTTTGTGGTAGAAAAACCTGAGCATGTTTATTTCTGCTTAGGGTGAACTATTAGAGATGATGTTATTAAATAACACAATATCTGGGCTTCCATTTGATTCTGGTGTATTCCCTGCTCCTGTCATGGCTGAAAGATACCATTCTCACTTAGTTCTTGGGAAGCTGTAGGTGATCTGGTCCCCCCCTGCCCTTTATTTTAAGGCAGGATCTTGCTCTGTCACCCAGATTGGAGTGCAATGACACGATCATGGCTCACTTGCAACCTCCACCTCCTGGGCTCAAGTGATTCTCCCACCTCAGCATCCAGAGTAGCTGGAATCACAGGTGCGTACCACTACACTTGGCTAATTTAAAAAATTTTTTTAGTAGACACAGGGTTTTGCCATGTTGCCGGCTGGTCTCTTAACTCCTGAACTCAAGGGATCCTCCTGCCTCAGCCTCAAAACATGCCAGATTACAGGCGTGAGCCATGGCACACAGCCCTGGTCCTTTTAAAAACAAACCTAGTGGGTATTGTGGCACGACATATTAAAGTACTACAGAATGGCAGAGTGCACAGTAAAATAAAAATTGTTTTTAAGTGTTTAAGTTGGAATAAAATAGTATCAAATTCACTCATTCTAAGAAATATTGTTGCTACCCAGGGATGATGAACAAAATCAGTTTTAGGACAGAAAGCAGTGTAGAGGCAGCAGGATGGCAGGGACAAAAGGGAAGGTTAAAGGAACTAAGATGTTAAGTCTAGAAAGGAAAAGGATAAAGAATGGTCTGATTCTTGGCCAGGCGCAGTGGCTCATGCCTGTAATCCCAGTACTTTGGGAGGCTGAGCTGGGCGGATCACCTGAGGTCAGGAGTTTGAGACCAGCCTGACCAATATGGTGAAACCCCATCTCTACTAAAAAAATACAAAAATTAGCAGGGCCTGGTGCCACGTGCTTGTAGTCCCAACTACTCAGGAGGCTGAGACAGGAGAATCACTTGAACCTGGGAGGCAGAGGTTGCAGTGAGTCGAGATTGTGCCACTACACTCCAGCCTGGTGACAGGGCCAGACTGTTTCCAAAAAAAGGATTATCTAATTTTTGGTCAGTGATATGGTTTGGATTTGTGTCCCAGCCCAAATGTCATGTGGAATTGTCATCCCCAGTGTTGGAGGTGGAGCCTGCTGGGAGGTGATTGGTTCATGGGGCGGCTTCTCCTGAATGGTTGATCACCCCATCCCCTGGGTGCTAAGTTCTTATGAGATCTGGTTGTTTAAAAGTGTGTAGCACTTTCCCCTTCTCTTCCTCCTGCTCCAGCCATGTGAAGTGCTGGCTTCCTCTTCCTCTTCTGCCCTGACTGAAGCCCAGCAGATGTGCCAGGCTTCCCGTACAGCCCACAGAACTATGAGCCAATTAAACCTCTTTTCTCTATAAATTACCCAGCCTCAAGTGTCTCTTTATAGTAGTGTAAGAATGGACTAACACAGTCAGGTACTAAATTAAACAGGAGGCTTGCTGATCCTGATTATATCCTGAAAATCAGAAGAGAATCCCAAAGGAGTTTAAATATATTTCTCCATAGAATTCTTGAAGGCAATGACAGTTACATGTCCTACCTACAGTCATCACTGAATTCATCATCATTAAAGCCTACATTTTCTTAGTGCCCAGTGAGTTCTTTCAAAAAATATATATTTGGATTTCTTTGGGGTTCTTTTTTTGTTCGTTTTTGAGACAGAGTTTCGCTCTTCTGCTTAGGCTGGAGTGCAGTGGCGCAATCTCAGCTTACTACAACCTCTGCCTCCCAGGTTCAAGTGATACTCTTGCCTCAGCCTCCCGAGTTGCTGGGACTACAGGTACACGCCATTACACCTGACTAATTTTTGTAGTACAAATGGGGTTTCACCATGTTGGCTAGGCTGGTCTCAAACTCCTGACCTCAGGTGATCCACCCACCTAGACCTCCCAAAGGGTTAGGATTACAGGCGTGAGCCAGCACGACTGGCCACTTGGATTTCTCAATATTAATAACAACAACATTGACTGAGCACCCATAGATGGCAGACACCATGCTAAGTACCTTACGGGTTTACTATAAGTTAAACCTGACTGGGTGGGGCAAGCATTCTGATCGCCATTTGTTTTTTTTAACTTTTTTCTTTTTTTTTTAGAGACAGGGTCTCACTATGTTACCCAGGCTGGCATGCAGTGGTTATTCACAGGCGTGATCCCACTACCAATCAGCACGGGAGTTTTGACCTGCTCCATTTCCGACCTGGGCCAGTTCACCCTCCTTAGGTCACCTGCTGGTTCCCTGCTCCCGAGAGGTCACCATATTGATGCCGAACTTAGTGTGGACACTCGATCCGCATAGCGTACTACAGCCCAGAACTCCTGAGCTCAAGTGATCCTCCCACCTCAGCCTTCTGAGTAGCTGGGACTACAGGCACATGCCACCACGCCCAGCCTGATCACCATTTTGTAGATGACTCTGGAGCTCAGAGGAGTTAAGGAACACGCCCCAAGTCACACAGTCAGTAAGTGGCAGAGCTGAACTTTAAATCCAGGTCTGTGTGATAAACCCAGGGATCCCAAACTAACAAGAAATAAATGAATAAATAAATAAAGCCAGGTCTGTGGACCTCCAAACAGATCAGGTAATTAACATCGAAACGTTAATTTTCACGAAACATGAAAGAGAGGACTTTACCACTAAAGACGGTCACTACCTACCACAGGGAATTATCATTAGGCTTAATAATAGATGCTTTGGCAATCTAGTCAGAAAACCTTGTAGAAAGGTTGTTACTTAAATCCAGAGCACGCTGCATAAAAGAAATGGCAAAGTCTCTATTTTTATTACTCATCACACATGACAGGCTCACATTGCTATTTTCTGAAGTTTTAAAAGAACAAAACAAAAAAATAATTCCACTCGGTCTTTGTTGAATCAAATATTCCCCTGCTTCTGAATTTGTTCTGAGGGAGATTAGAAAGGGACAACGACAGCAACGACAACAAAAAGACATCCAGGAAACAGCTCCCTGTCATTGCTGTGCCAGGGAAGCTGTCCTTTGAAGTCCCTCCTGACAGCTTTGCTTAGGGAAGATGTTTTTCTGCCTAAGACAATGAAGCCTTCTCAGAGATCTGCTATTGGAAGAGGGAGAAACAAACTATCACACACCCGTACATTTGCTGGTTGTTTTTAAGTTAGTTTGTTTTAAACTCTGCTTATTACCTGGATCCACATCAGAAGAGCAAGGAAAAGAATGGAATTCCACAGAACTGAAAGCCTCACTGTTGGTGTCTTGGCTGGGTCTCTGCAGGACATAATCTCTTATGTCACACGCAGATGGCAGGTCCAAAGCACTGCTCTCCTCTGACAGGCTGCCTGAAGTGGCGTCCTCAGCTGCCATAGTCCTGCCATGGAAGAAATAGAACAATGCAATACAAAAGGCATCACATAGCAGGATCCTTCATTAGAGCCACAGCTCGAATCATTTTATTTGTTTTTTACTTGTATTGTTTTTTTTATAGAGATCGGGTCTCACCATGTTGCCCAGGCTGGTCTTGAACTCCTGGGCTCAAGCAATCCTCCCATCTCAGCCTCCCAAAGTGCTGGGATTATGGGCATGAGCCACTGTACCCACACAAATAATTTTATTTATTTATTTATTTATTTATTTTTGAGACAGAGTCTCACTCTGTTGCCAGGCTGGAGTACAGTGGCGTGATCTTGCCTCACTGCAGCCTCCGCCTCCTGGGTTTGAACAATTCTCCTGCCTCAGCCTCCCAAGTAGCTGGGATTGCAGGTGCCCACCACCATGCCTGACTAATTTTTGTATTTTTAGTTCAGAAGGGGTTTCACCATGTTGGTAGGGTTGGTCTCTATCTTCTGATCTTGTGATCTACCTGCCTTGGCCTCCCAAAGTGCTGGGATTACAGGTGTGAGCCACCACGCCCAGCCAATAATTTTAAAGGTCAAACAACAGTGAAATCAGAATGACTGACAGTAGTCTCCCCTTATCTGCGACTTTGCTCTCTGCAGTTTCAGTTAATCTCACTCAACCATGATTCAAAAATATTAAATAGAAAACTCCAGAAATAAACAATTGATAAATTTTAAATTGTGCACCATTCTGCATATTGTGATGAAATCTCATGCTGTCCCGCTCCATCCCACCCGGGACATTCATTACCCTTCTGTCCAGTATATTTGAACTATACATGCCACCTGCCCCTTAGTCATTCAGTAGCCTTCTCAGTTGTCAGATTGTCTGTTGTGGTATCACAGTGGCCTTCCAGGCTCCTGTGTCTGCAGAGCCCCAGTGCTGCAGCCTAAACTACCACGTGATTAGGCAAAGATAGGAAGTATATAAAAACAAATCAACAGTGAGACCTGGCAAGACCTTTTTGTTTGAGGACACCCAGTCACATGCTGTTGTGCACATTCACTCAGGCCAAGAGTGAGCCAAGCTATCAGCTGATTGCTCCTGAAAGGAGTGGAGTGATCAAGGTTCCTAAAGGAGCAAGAACATCCTGTCTTTTCACGGGTTCTATATTAGCCAACCAAGCCTGAAGCTTCAGCAAACAGCTCTGCACCAGGCAACTTTGTCTCCCCGTCTCCCTTCATGTTACCTAACATTCTGCTCTGGAGGCTTCTGGAAGGGAACAAACAGGTCAATGAATGATGCTGGCATATCCTGCCTGCCTGCAAAGGCGCCTTGAAATCCACCATCAACTGAGGGTATCATCAGTGATATGAAATGAATGGAATCCTTTTTGAAAATAATTAGCACATTGATGTGATACCTATCTTTTCTTTGTTTTCAGAATAACTTAAATACCAAATACCTGACGAGCTGGGAACTGGACCACAAAAAGAAAACATGTCGACCAGGCGTGGAGGCTCACACCTGTAATCCCAGCACTTTGGGAGCCCAAGGTGGGTGGATCACACGAGGTCAGGAGTTTGAGATCAGCCTGGCCAACGTGGTGAAACCACGTCTCCACTAAAAATAAAAAATAAAAAATTAGCTGGGCGCCAGGGTGCACACCTGTAGTCCCAGTTACTGGGTGGCTGAGGCAGGAGAATCACTTGAACCTGGGAGGCAGAGGTTGCACTGAGCTGAGATTGCGCCACTGCATTCCAGCCTAAATGACAGAGCAAGACTCTATCTCAATTAAAAAAAAAAAAAAAAAAAATGGCCAGGCACAGTGGCTGACACCTATAATCCCAGTACTTTGGGAGGCCAGGCAGGTGGATTGCCTGAGGTCAGGAGTTTGAGACAAGCCTGGCCAACATGGTGAAACCCCATCTCTCCTTAAAAAAAAAAAAAAAAGTATTTGTGCATACATTATTTGGGACTCAGTGAATCTGTACAGAAGTAAAAAAAACAAGCAATGAAGGCAGATTAAACCCTTCTTGTGGTCTGATCCAAGCAGATGCAATGATCGTCCTTTGTCCCAAACCTTTTGACAATGTGGTTCAACTTCCTTCTCCAGAAGTGCTTATTTTCCTCTCTTATGGTTGATGTAATTACGCAGCCCGGCACAGTGGCTCACACCTATAATCCCAGCACTTTGCGAGGCCGAGGCAGGCAGATCACAAGGTCAGGACTTCAAGACCAGCCTGGCCAATATGGTAAAACCCTCTCTCTACTAAAAATACAAAAAAATTAGCCAGGCGTGGTGGCACATGCCTGCAGTCCCAGCTACTCACGAGGCTGAGGCAGAAGAATCACTTGAACCTGCGAGGCGAATGTTGCAGTGAGCTGAGATTGTGCCACTGCCCTCCAGCCTGGGTGACAGAGTGAGACTGTGTCTCAAAAAATAAATAAATAAAAATAAAAAATACAAAAATAAAAAAAGTTATTGAATTATGCAATCTAAATATTCCTTTTTTTCTGGGCTCAGTGGTTCATACCTGTAGTCAGCACTTTGGGAGGCCAAAGTGGAGGATTGCTTGAGGCCAGAAGTTCCAAGACCAGCCTGGGCAACAGAGCAAGACCTTGTCTGTAAAAAAAATTGAAATAATAAATAAATACACATTCTTTTTCAATACCGGACAGTCTAGGATGCCCTGGGTTGCAGGAATGAGAAGCCTCTAAGTACAGTGCATAAAAACCTGTTTACCAGTAGGAGACAGTCATTCTTCTATTACTCTACAGATTCTTATGATTTAATTTCATTTATTTTTCTTCTATTCAGCCACTTCCCTCCAAATATTTTACATGAAAAGTTTCAAACATCCATAGAGCTACCCCCAGACTCCCCAATTCACATTTTACTATGATTTGCTTCATCACACAACTATGCATCTATCCAAATTTCTATCCATTCATCAATCCATCATATTTTTAAAACACATATTTCCATTTATATCTTAATAAAAGCTCTGTCGTCCAGGCTTGAGTGCAGTGGCGTGATCATAGCTGAATGCAGCCTCAACCTCCTGGGCTCAAGCGATTCTCCCACCTCAGCTTCCTGAGATCTAAGACAGGGGTCCTCAACTTGGGACTGCAGGCATGAGACATCACACTTAGCTATTTTTTTTTTTTTTTTTTTTTGGTAGAGACAAGGTCTCACTATATTGCCCAAGATGATCTTGAATTCCTGGGCTCAAGCCAGCCATCTTCCCACTCTGGCTTCCCAAAGTGCTAGAATTACAGGCATGAGCCACTCTGCCTGGCCTTTACATTCTGTATTTTTAAACACTCACTCTGTTAGCTGAATGAAGCATGAATTGGAGAACCATAATCATTTGTGAAGTTAAAGAGAATGGGTTCAAACCCCTGCTGTCATTTTTTAGCTGTGTCACCTTGGACAAGTCACTTAACCTATTTCCCTGTCTATATATAGACAAGAAAATATACAGAGAGAGAGAGAGAGAGAGAGAGAGACAGAGAGAGACAGAGAGAGAGACAGAGAGTCTGGCTCTGTTGCTCAGGCTGGAGTGCAGTGGCATGATCTCCACTCACAGCAACCTCTGCCTCCTGTGTTCAAGCAATTTTCCTGCTTCAGCCTCCCAAGTACCTAGGATTACAGGTGCATGCCACCATGTCCAGCTAATTTTTCTATTTTTCTTTTAGTAAAAATGGGGTTTTACCACGTTGGACAGGCTGGTCTCGAACCCCTGACCTCAAGCAATCTGCCCACCTTGGCCTCTCAAAGTGCTGGGATTACAGGCGTGAGCCATTGTGCCTGGCCAGTTTCTTTGTCTATAAAATGGCTTGATGACATAAACCAAAAAGTATGTGAAACAGGTCTCAATCAATTTAGAAGTTTATTTTGCCGAGGTTAAGGATGTGACCAGAAGAGATAAACACAGAATCACAGAAACTGTGGTCTGTGCCTTTTGCCAACCTGACTCTGGTATAGCATCATATGACAGATAAAAAGCCCTGAAGGAAATCAAAATACTTTACCCCAAAATATATTTTCTTTGTCATAGTTTGAAACGGCTCTGCAAAGCCATCTTTTGAGGGAACATTTGCATGCTATCAAAAATGTTCTTCTCTTACAACAGCAGACCCCAAACTTTTTGACACCAGGGACCAATTTCATGGAAGACAACTTTTCCATGGACTGGGGGGTGCGGTATGGTTTTGGGATGAAACTGTTCTACCTCTGAGCATCAGGCATTAGTTAAATTCTCATAAGGAGCACATAACCTAGATCCCTCACATGTGCAGTTCACAATAGGGTTCACACACCTATGAGAATCTAATACCACCACTGATCTAATAGGAGGCAGAGCTCAGAGCGTAATGCTAGCTCACCTGCCGCTCACCTCCTGCTGTGTGGCCCGGTTTCTAATGGGCACAGACTGGTACCAGTCCGCAGCCCAGGAGGTGAGGACCCCTGTCTTAGATCTCATCCAGAGTCTGACACCTTTTGAAGCCTCATAAGAGATATTTAGCATCTATTCTCTCTAAAGCCTGTTACTAAGAGGCTTCATCTATACAACAAGAACCTTGGCGTCCATAGCCCCCCTTATCTTAACTCAAGCATTTATTTATGCTGATTTCAACTCTTCAGGCGAAGCAACCCATTGCCAATCAGTTTGAATTCACCTATAACCTGAAACCCCCTCCCTAAACAGTTATGCATTTTGAGGCCTAAATATACAAAACCAAGCTGTAACCTAACTACCTTGGACACAAGTTCTCAGGACCTCCTGATGCTGTGTTACGGGCCGTGGTCACTCATATTTGGTTCTGAATAAACCTCTTTAGATATTTTACAGAATTTGGCTTTTTTCATCAGCAATGGGAAAGGAGGTCAGACATACCTCATTACACCCATCTCTTTTTGGAGTTTAGGCACACTGACTGACCAGCGTTAGCTTTAACATAGAGATCATGGCCAGGTGAGGTGGCTACCGCCTGTAGCCCCAGCACTTTGGAAGGCTGAGGCAGGAAGATCACTTAAGCCCAGGAGTTCAAGACCAGCCTGCGCAATATTGTGAAAACTCGACTCTACAAAAAATACAAAAACAAGCCAGGCAGAAAAAAAAAAAAAAAAAAAAAAAAACTAGCCAGGCATGGTGGTGAATGCCTGTGGTCCCAGCTACTCAGGAGGCTGAGATAAGAGGATCCCTTGAGCCCAGGAGGTCGAGGCTGCAGTGAGCTGAGATCACATCACTGCATTCCAGCCTGGGTGACAGAGTGAGACCCTGTCTCAAGGAAAGAAAAGAAAAAAAGAGATCGCATGACTGGCAAAACAGACTCTTTGTGGCAGTAAGATACCAAATGATGGCTAGGTGTGGTGGCCCATGCCTGTAATCCCAGCACTTCTGAAGCAGCGTCATTTGTCTGGAGTGATACCCAAGGTCCATTGTCTCATGTGAAGCAGATCAAAGACATGAACACACAAGAAGTGTGTTTAAGAGAGGAAAGTTTAATAGGCAAAAGTGAAAAGCTCTCCCCTGCAGAGGGAAGGGGGTTCTGAACAGATCTCTCCAATTTGGGATGAGTTGAGGCTGGTTTTATAGATGAGCTTAAGGAGCTGGTGTCTGATTTACTTAGGGCCAAGAGGATTGGTTGGACCAGTTGTGCCTTTTACAAAGCACTAGAAGAGGTTGGCCATCCTATCCTCTTCTTTTATTATGCAAATGGGTTTTACCCTGGCCAGTACCATGTTGCTTGCACACATGGTGACAAAGTAAAGGGAAGAGGAAACCTCCATGTTGAATATACCTGGCTTCCAGGTATCCCTTTTCTATTGGCACAGCTGCTGGCATTTACCTGTGCAAGCTTCCAACTTACTTGTCTATGCTTGCAGCTTGATTGTTCAGGCTGCTTTTTGTTAGAAATGATTTGGGGACTACTTTTTATTAAAAGAAAAACTCCCTAACCATGGCTGTCTAAATTTTTTTTTTTTTTTAAGATGGGGTTTCACCATGATGGCCAGGCTGGTCTTGAACTCCTGACCTCAGCTGATCCACCCACCTCAGCCTCCCAAAGTGCTAGGATTACAGGCGTGAGCCACCGCGCCCAGCCTAAATAATTTCTTTTTAGCTCCTGTATCACTTTGGGAGGCCGAGGTGGGAGGATCATTTGAGACCAGGAGTTCGACACCAGCCTGGGCCACATAACAAGACCCTGTCTCTATGTTTTATATTTATACATATTGTTTAAAAATATACCAAATTATAAACAAGACCTAGGCCATGCAAGACATAGGTTATGTCATACCCTATAGACTATAAAATCTTGTTAAATGAGTTTTTTTTTTCTTTCTCTTTTAATTAACCTGGTATAATGTGGCTTACCTTCCAACCTGACACTAGTATAGCATCACATGACAGATGGCAAACCCTGAAGGAAATAAAAATATTTTACGTCAGCCAGGCACAGTGGCTCACACCTGTAATCCCAGAACTTTGGGAGGCCAAGGCAGGCAGATCATTTGAGGTCAGGAGTTTGAGACCAGCCTGGCCAATATTGAGAAACTCCATCTCTACAGAAAATACAAAAAGTTAGCCAGGCATGGCAGTGCATGCCTATAACCTCAACTACTCAGGAGGCTGAGGCAGGAGAATTGCTTGAACCTGGGAGATAGAGGTTGCAGTGAGCTGAGATCACGCCACTGCACTACAGCCTAGATGACAGAGTGAGACTCCAACTCAAAAAACAAACAAAATACAAAATTTAGGTGTGGTGGTGCATGCCTGTAATTCCAGCAGCTCTAGAGGCTTAGGCAGAACTGCTTGAACTCAGGAGGTAGAGGTTGCAGTGAGCTGAGATCGTGCTACACTCCAGTTTGGGTGACAGAGCAAGACTGTCTCAAAAAAAAAAAAAAAAAAAAAAAAATCTTAAAATATATTTCTTTGACATATTTTGAAATGGCCCTACAAAACTGTCTTTTGTAACAGAAATTTGTATATGCAGAGAATCTCCTTTAATGCAGCCAGAATTTCCTTTTCTAGGCCTTTCCCAGATTTAGGAAAGATTGATTCTGACACATAAATTTTAAATTTTCAAAAGAGACATGTGGTGACAAAGTACCATCTATTCTCTCTCTCTCTCTTTTTTTTTTAGATGAAGTCTCACTCTGTCACCCCGGCTGGAGTGCAGTGGCATGATCTTGGCTCACTATGACCTCCGTATCCTGGATTCAAGCAATTCTTGTGCCTCAGCCTCACAAGTAGCTGGGGTTACAGGCACATGCCACCACGCCCAACTAATTTTTGTATTTTTACTAGAGATAGTGTTTCAACATTTTGGTCAGGCTGATCTCAAAAGTCCTGACCTCAAGTGATCCACCTGCCTTGGCCTCACAGAGTGTTGGGATTACAGGTGTGAGCCACAGTGCCCAGCCTATTTATTCTCTGAGGCTGCAACTCATGAGGTTTCATCTATGAAACCAGGACCTTGAACCCCACAACTCCCTTATCTTAGTTCAAGCATTCTTTTCTACTGACTTCAAGTCTTTAGAAAAAGCTTAACTCTCAAGCAATTGTCAGCTGAAGAATCCCTAAAAAGCCAGGCGCAGTGGCTCACGCCTGTAATCCCAGCACTTTGGGAGGCCGAGGCGAGTGGATCACGAGGTCAAGAGATTGAGACCATCCTGGTCAACATGGTGAAACCCCGTCTATACTAAAAATACAAAAAATTAGCTGGGCATGGTGGCGCGTGCCTGTAATCCCAGCTACTCAGGAGGCTGAGGCAGGAGAATTGCCTGAACCCAGGAGGCGGAGGTTGCGGTGAGCTGAAATCGCGCCATTGCACTCCAGCCTGGGTAACAAGAGCGAAACTCTGTCTCAAAATAATAATAATAATAATAATAATAATAATAATAATAAAATAAAATAAAAAATCCCTAAAATCCACCTACGACCACCCTTTGAGATAGCCGCCTTTTTGGGTCTAACCAATGTATACCTTCCATGTACTGATTTATTTCTTTACCTGTAACTCCTGTCTCCCTAAAATGTAAAAAAAAAAAAAAAAAAGCTATAACCCAACTGCCTCAGGATTGCTTACTCAAGCCTTTTTGGTTTTGTGTTTTCTCTCTGGGCCATGGTCACTCATACTGGCTCAGAATAAACCTCTTTAAAATAGTTTACAGAGTTTGGTTTCTCTGCTAACAGTCGAACACATGCTACAAAGACAAGCTTTGGAAATATTATATATAGTATAAGAAGATAGTCAGCTAGGAGTGCTGGCTCATGCCTGTAATCCCAGCACTTTGGGAGGCCGAGGCAGGTTGATCACCAGCTGAGGACTTCAAGACCAGCCTGGCCCAGGTGGTAAAACCCCATCTCTACTAAAAATACAAAAATTAGCCAGACGTGGTGGCAGGCGCCTGTAATCCCAGCTACTCGGGAAGCTGAGACAGGAGACTAGCTTGAACCTGGATGGCAGAGGTTGCAGTGAGCCGAGATCGTGCCACTGCACTCCAGCCTGGGCAACAGTGTGAGATTCATGAGACTCCGTTTCAAAAAAAAAAAAAAGTCATGAAAGAAGCTAGTCACCAAAACGCTGACATTATACTTAATTAAAGAAACCAGTCACACTGTATGATTTCATTTATATCAAATGAATTTGATATAAATTGGCAAGGCTATACAGACAGAAAGTATACTAGCAATTGTCTAGGACTTGGGGCAGAATGGACATGGTGAATGCAGAGTGACTGCTACTGAATGCGGGATTTTTCTTTGGAGTGATGAAAATATTCTAAAATTAGATCACAGTAGTAGATGCACAGTTCTGTCAACAACAACAAGAAAAACCCTTAATGTTACACCTTATTTTATTTATGTTTAGGTCCGTTGTCTTGCTCTGTCTCCCAGGCTGCAGTGCAGTGGTGCATGTCAGCTCACTGCACCCTGGCAGGGCCTTGAGCCGCTGGGACTACAGGCGAATGCCACTATGCTTGGCTTTAATTTTTTTAGTTTTAAAGGGGCAAATTTTACATTGTATATGAATAGACATTTATCAAGAAAGCTGTTTTTTGGTTTGTTTTGCTTTTCTTTTTGGCAGGACCTCCTGAAGTGACAGGTCACTGAAAAAATAAATAATAATAATAATAATAATAATAATTGAAAAAAAAAAAAAAAAAAACCGAAGCTTATCCAAACCCACTACCCACAAGGCTACAGAGACCGCTGTTGGGGCGGAAGGGGCGGGGAGCTGGCGGGAAATCCTGACATGCCAAGGAAAGCCTCCATAACTTTCTAATTGAGAGAGCACAATCAGATGCACTGCTGTGACCCTCCCGCCCTACCCATCCCTTACCTCGCTCCAAAGCACTCCAGAAGCGACAGAGAAAACTGACGAGAAAAGACGCCAAGCCCCGAACACTCAGCCTCCACAACCGGAACGCGGAAGCGAAATCGCCATCTTTGTTATGGGAAATGCGACGTTCAAAGGAAGTCACCGAAGCCATCCTTACTGCTGGCAGAGAAGGGCAATGGAAGCTTGCTGCGGCCATGTTGACTGAGGGCTTTTGGCCTGTCAATGAAGCTTGCCACCTGTGGCTATTTTGGGCAATTTCTTTTTTTTAAGATGGGATTTCACCATGTTGTTCAGGCTGGTCTTGAACTCCCGACCTCAGGTGATCCGCCCGCCTTGACCTCCAAAACGCTTGGATTACAGGTGTGAGCCACCACGCCCGGCCTTTGGGCAATTTCTTGAGTCGGCTTGTAGAAAAATGTGCTTGGTAAACAAAGAGAACAGAAATAATATTTGGGCCTCCCAAAGTGATGGGATTACAGACATGAGCCACCGAATCAATGCAAATTGATCATTTCAAAGTTACTTTCTTTGTAGGGTTAAAACAGAGGAGATGGGCCGGGCGCGGTGGCTCAAGCCTGTAATCCCAGCATTTTGGGAGGCCGAGGCGGGTGGATCACAAGGTCGAGACATCGAGACCATCCTGGTCAACATGGTGAAACCCCATCTCTACTAAAAATACAAAAAATTAGCTGGGCATGGTGGCGCGTGCCTGTAATCCCAGCTACTCAGGAGGCTAAGGCAGGAGAATTGCCTGAGCCCAGGAGGCGGAGGTTGCGGTGGGCTGAGATCGCGCCATTGCACTCCAGCTTGGGTAACAAGAGCGAAACTCCGTCTCAAAACAAACAAACAAACAAACAAACAAACAAAAAACAGAGGAGACTTCCTTATTACATTTACTCAGATTGACTGGAATCTCCTGTTTTCCGGAAAATGACTTTGATTCAAAGTTCAGTTTGCTTACGCCGTAAGGCTCCGGGCGTCCCCAAACTTTTTACACAAGGGCCAGTTCACTGTCCCTCAGACCGCTGGAGGACAGCCACATACTGTGCTCCACTCACTGACCACCAATGAAAGAGGTGCCCCTTCCTGAAGTGCCGCGGAGGGGCGGATAAATGGCCTCAGGGTGCCGCATGCAGCCCGCGGGCCGTAGTTTGGGGACCCCTCCTTACGCCTTACGGGGCACTTAGCACAAGTAACTCAGTTCTGATTTGGTCTGGCCTGCTGGGGCCTAGCGCAGGAGGTCATACCAAAACAATGGCCTCCCATAAACTTTAACAAGACTGAGGGCTATTTTCCCATTTAACCATTTTCTTTCTTTTTTTTTTTTTTCTTTTCCATTTCACCATTTTCTTGAAAGAGTAATGTATACTCATAGCCTCCTACAGATGCCTACATTGTAATAGTAACCCGTAAATTAGGAGTCCTGGACTTAAGATAAATACTTTACCTATACACTACTTTCTTTTCCTTTCTTTTTTTTTTTTTCTTGAGATTGAGTCTTACTCTGTCGCCCAGGCTGGAGTGCAGTGGTGCGATCTCCGCTCACTGCAACCTCCGCCTCCTGGGTTCAAGTGATTCTCCTGCCTCAGCCTCCTGAATAGCTGGGATTGCAGGTGCCTGCCACCATGCCCAGATAATTTTTGTATTTTTAGTAGAGATGGGGTTTCACCACGTTGGTCAGACTGATCTTGAGCTCCTGACCTGAGGTGATCCGCCTGCCTCAGCCTCCCAAAGTGTTGGGATTACAGGAGTGAGCCAACACCAGCCTTTCTTTTCCTTAAATACTTCATGCTTGCCTTCTTTCAATTCCGAGCTTTCCCCCCATGCAATTTCTTCCCTTACAAACACTCTTCTCTCCTCTTCTTTGATCTTTATGATCCTTGTATCTCCACTTTAGCAAATTCCTCCTCCAGGAACCTTCTCTGACTTGTCTAAAATGAGTTAGTTGTCCCTTGCAGGAATGCCCACTTTCCTGTTTACCCAGATTACTCTAAACGCCTTTGTCCTTTCTGCTCTTCCCACCAAACTGTAAATATCTCAAAGGCAAAGACCCTGTTTCTCTTTTTCTGCTTGTATTTCAGACCCCAGCTCAGTGACTCAGAAATCACTGTTACATGCATGAATAAATAAGTCACAACCCAGGTCTCCCCTGTTCCCCACTCCTCGTTCACACTCCGCTCAACCTTATACCCTCCAGGAAGTCTCAGAATCATGGCTTTTTCAGCGCTTGTTTTCAGTGAAACAAACCTTAAAGCCTTTTCTAGTGTCACCTTTGCTTGAAAAAAAAGTCTGGGTATAAGTTAACTATTTATTCTGCTGTGGTTTTTCTGAAATGAGGCTTACCTCTCTGTGGGCTTCTGATGCAAATTTCTGAAATCGATGGTGACTTTCTTTGCCATATAAGTGTAACCACCCAATGGGTTATCTTGCATGCTGCCTGGACAGAGCCAATTTATCAAGGCATGGGAATTGCAATAGATAAAGAGTTTAATGGATGCAGAGTCAGCTACATGGGAAACCATAGTTTTATTATTACTCACATCAGTCACCCTGAAACTCAGCAATCAGGTTTGGGGTTTTTTTTTTTGTTTGTTTTTTGAGATGATGTCTAGCTCTGTCACCCAGGCTGGAGTGCAGTGGTGCAATCTTGGCTCACACAACCTCCACCTCCTGGGTTCAAGCGATTCTCCTGCCTCAGTCTCCTGAGTAGCTAGGATTACAGGCGTGTGCCACCACACCCGGCTAATTTTTGTATTTTTAGTAAAGAGGGGGTTTCACCACATTGGTCAGGCTGATCTTGAACTCCTGACCTCATGATCTGCCCACCTTGGCCTCCCAAAGTGCTGGGATTATAGGCATGAGCCACTGTACCCAGCAAGGATCGGGTTTTTTAAGGATAATTTGATGGGTAGGGGATCTGAAAGTGTGATGTGCTGATTGGTCAGGTTGGAGATGAAATCATAGGGAGTCGAAGCTGTCCTCTTGCTCTAAGTCTGTTCCTGGGTGGGGGCCACAAGACCAGATGAGCCAGTTTATTGGTCTGGGTGATGCCAGCTAATCCATCAAGTGCAGGGTCTGCAAAATATCTCAAGCACAAGTCTTAGTGTGTTGTTATTGTTGTTATTGTTGAGATGGAGTCTTGCTTTGTTACCCAGGTTGGAGTGCACTGGTGCTATCTTGGCTCACTGCAACCTCCACCTCATGGGTTCAAGTGATTCTCACGCCTCAGTCTTCCACACCTGACTAATTTTTGTATTTTTAGTAGAGATGGGGTTTTACCAGGTTGGCCATATTGGTCTTGAACTCCCGACCGAAAGTGATCTGTCCACTTAGGCCTCCCAAAGTGCTGGAATTACAGGCTTGAGCCACTTCGCCCGACGTGATCTTAGGTTTTACAATAGTGATGTTATCCCCAGGAGCAATTTGAAGAGGTTCAGACTCTTGTACCTCCAGCTGCATGAATCCTAAACCATAATTTCTAACCTTGAGGCTTATTTACTAGTCCTGCAAAGGCATTCTAGTCCCCAGGAAGCGGAGTTGTTTTGGGGAAGGATTGTTAACATCTTTATTTCAAAGTTAAGCTATAAACTCCCAAAGTTAGTGCATCCTATGCCCAGGAATGAACAAGGACAGCTTGGAGGTTAGAAGCAAGATGGAGTCATTTAGGTCAGATCTCTTTCACTGTCATAATTTTCTCAGTTGTAATTTTTGCAAAGGTAATTTCGTAAGCATGCCTGCGACCATGCTGTCTTACCACTTTTAGTTAGTCCGTGCATAAGAAATGAAAACTAATTGAACTAAACATCAAAACAAGATTTTACCTCTGCAGAGAAAACAAAATAAAGGTTATTGCATTCCCAAAGTACAGTATAAATGGTTTTAGATTCCCTTAGGTTTTGCCATTGATTATATAACGACTACATAAATTGGGTTAGGCCACAGTTTTATGAAGTGCTTCATATTTTGCTGATTTTCTGCCATTAGCTGAGCCAGACACTTCAGCCAAATCTCTTTCAACAGAAAAAAGTCAGTTTAGTTGAAAGACCAAAATAGCTCTTTCAAAGTAGGATGAGGTTCTTTGCAATTATCTTATCTCTCTTTGCCATTCTGAACTTTGATCTAATTACTTTGTCATCTGGGGACTTGGCTTTAAGAAAGGGGAAAGAAAACATCACAAAAGTTCAAGGGTTAAGTATAATTAATTATTAATGAGTCTCAAGGCATTTTTTTTCTTTTTTGAGATAGGATCTGGCTCTGTTGCTGAAGTTGGAGTGCAGTGGTACAATTTTGGCTCACTGCAACCTCCATTTCCTGCACTTACGCCATCCTTCCATTTAGCCTTCCGAGTAGTGAGGACTATAGGTGCACACCACCACATCCAGCTAATTTTTGTATTTTATGTAGAGATGGGGTTATACCGATGATGATGGCTCATGCCTGTAATCCTAGCACTTTGGGAGGCAGAGGCAGGTGGAAAACTTGAGGTCAGGAGTTCGAGACCAGCCTGGCCAACATGGTGAAACCTCACCTCTACTAAAAATACAAAAATTAGTTGGGCGTGGTGGCAGAAGCCCATAGTCCCAGCTACTTGCGAGGCTGAGGCAGGAGAATCACTTGAACCTAGGAGGTGAGATTGCACCACTTCACTCCAGACTGGGCAGCAGAATGAGACGCTGTCTCAAAAAAAAAAAAAGGAAAGAAAGAAAGAAAGAAAGAAAAAAAGACATCTTAGTGTTTTTTTAATCATGCAGTAGTCTAAAGGCATAATTAAACAGTAAGTTGACAGCCAAGGGAAAAATATGTCAGATAGACTGCAAACTACCTGTTTTTTTTTTTTTTTTTTATGTTTGTTTGTTTTTTGAGATGGAGTTTCACTCTGTCACCCAGGCTGGAATGCAGTGGCGCAATCTTTGCTCACTGCAACCTCTGCCTCTTGGTTCAAGATATTCTTGGTTTAAGCGATTCCTCCTGCGTAGCTGGGATTACAGGCACATGGCACCATTCTCTGCTAATTTATGTGTGTGTGTGTATATATATATATATATATATATTTTTTTTTTTTTTTTTTTTTGAGACGGAGTTTCGCTCTTGTTACCCA